ATCTGCATTTTGTTATTTTTGTCTTCGTAGAGACGAGGTGGTCCTGGTGAAGAAGTGGAAATGGAGGATGCAGCTGCTGTGCTGTTTGCCGAGGCACAGGCTCGTGCCAGAGAACAAGCTGCCTATGAACAACTCAAAGCGAGTGGTATGTTGACAGAACAAAGTGATTGATTATTCAGAGAAAAGATAAAACTCGCACATGCCAAGAGTGTTCAGTGAGGAGTTCCATGATGCACGATACTGTGAAACCATATTCTCTTCAATCTATTCTTGAATATGAGCGCAATTAAAATGTTACACAAGAGGTACCAAGGAAAATATGACAGGAGCCTTTTAGAAATCACATTAAAGACAAGCAAACTACATGAAGCGCGGGAAAACGCGGGTGACCAAGTCCCTATTGATTTTCATTTGGCTTCTGATTGGTTGAAAGATGGCGCCAGTTTTGCAGGAAAATGCAGAGAAAAACCAATGTTATTTTAAATGCTTACTTAAAAGTTTGCCCAATTTCTGTTTTTCATTCCAGGTAAATTACAATTTGAAGTGCGAGCCGAGGGAGGTGAAGATGAAGGGGGAATGGGTGTGTCGTCTATCAAGGTGAACGGTGTGGAACATTGCCCCAGGAAGCCTGGGCACAATGTTGTTGTACTTGATCCGATTGGTGACGTGTACGCAGTCAGAAATTTTAACACAAATGCAGGGGAAGGCCCGGCTATGGGACAGTTTTTGAACCAACTTCCTGAGGATCATGTTGTTCTTGTGGCCACACAGGAGCTGACAAGCCGAGAGCAGGGTAAGGGTTAAAAACGAAGAGAACGGTTCTTGAGGTCGATCGGCCTGGTCATGGCGCGTTACAATCGTCTCGATATCCTGATTAGATAACGAAGCGCCTGCTATTTTTTCTTAACTTGCTACCAAGCGTTTGATAGAAAATTTCATTAAAAATGCAAAGTTCGCGTCAGCGTTATGTTAACATGAAATAAGCTACACAGTTGTTACATACGCAAGGGACAGAAGATAAGTGTGTTGCCTCTTGCGGCTCCAAAATTTATTGGATACACTGTGATGAACCAAAACCAAAGTAATAAAAGCATTCGATAAGTAAAACTGATGGAAATATTGTAAGGCTTCAATGTGACTGGAAAATGAAAACAGGCAAGTTTCCTGAAGGGCGACGAAACGCCAAGTCGCAACTGGGTTTTTTTTTTATTCTAATCGGTGGGAAGGGTGGTGTTGGGTCTCCAGACCAGTCACATAACGAAGGAGGGCGAAGCCATGCTTTACTTTTGACACTGAATTGAAAATTGCTTTACTTGGTTTGATCTTTAGGTAATAATGTGGCCGCCGCAGCACCAGCGCTGGAGCGTCTTGGAGCAGAGGGACCATTTGACCCTGGTTTTCATGGATCTTACGCCTTCTCTGGCTGTACTGGACCCGCACCAAGATTTTACACCAAAGCTGAGGTGCGACCCAGGTACCATGGACCGGCAATTGTGGCACAACTCATTCCCACTCCAGCTGCACAGAAAGGTTCGTTGTCTTAATTTGTTAATATTTTTCGTTTTGCTGCTGATAGCCATTTTTTGACTTTGTGGATTGTTAGTAGATATGTGTACCAGTAAATGAGAGTCATAGTGGATCACAGGATGGCATGTTGTTTTGTTTTTGGTTCAGAACTCTCACAGTAATTGCTTTGATTCTCACATTATTAGCAATACTGCTAGAAAAAACCCGAGTCCCCCGAAAGATTCTAACCTTTGACCTCCGATGTTGCACCATTGAGCTACAGAATACTCTATGGTGAGATACGCCAATACTGGGGCGTGTTGTAGAGGAAATCTCTTTTCCATCAGAACACCGGAAGTCTGTTGGTTCATTGAACTATTTTTGAAGCAAGTCTCGTTTGTATTGGTAATTTTATTAACAGTGATAAAAAGTGATACCCGTGTAACATCTATTGCTGTGGTGTTTCAGGAATGGTTCGTGTTGCGATCGTCGCTACCGGAGAAGATGATCCAAAGGGAACAGGCCGAACATCAATCAAAGTTAATGGCATCGAGAGATCGCCCATGCAGCGAGGACACAATATTGTCATACTGGACAGTGACAGAAACTTTATCATGGCGGCTAACTTTGACACAGCAGATCCGTCTAAAGGGGAGGGGGCAAAGATGGCCAAGTTCTTACAACAGCTTCCTCAGGAGAGGATAGTGCTGATTGGTACCCAGGGAACCACTGGTGAGTATGGTTTGTTGCATCTATGGGCACCTTTGTGGCATCTTCACACAAATCAGTGATTACCAAGTATGACGTTCAGGCAAACGATTGTTCAAAACTGTGTCGCAGTTCTTGAACGTGATTGGTTATAGGAAGCCCGATTTGCGCACTAATTTGACAGTTATGCCTGTAATTTGATTGTCTAAGGGGAATTTTTAGGCGTCATGCCGGTTTGAGTTGGACGGTGTGTTCTATTTGTTATACCGACTATTAAATTTAAAATTTTCACAGAGAAAGTCATCTCTGTTGTTGCCATTTATTACTTGTTCCTTAAATCGATAGGTGTTTTGTTTCTTAAATACCGTCATAGTTTTGACTTTACTTTTTCCAGTTACCAACATTAACTCTCACGGTTTTTCTCACTTGATTCAACAGGTACTTCTGTGAATGACGCAAAGGAGGCTCTTTATGAGATAGGTGCCACAGGCAATGTTCATCCTGGGTTCCATGGCTCTTGGGCCTTCGTGGGGTACACAGGGCCCGAGCAAGTTAAATGGGCAAAAAATATAAGCCAACCGCGGTACCAGGGACCTGCAGTTATCGAAGAAATGCTGACCAGTCCGTCAGCAGAGGAGGAAATAAGTAAGATTTCGTGGGTTGAATGGGTTATTTACTATTCCATAACCCGAGATTAGTGAGATATTTACTTTGTTGTTCTTGGATTGTCTATAGGCGCCATGACAGCTGCGGAGTCTGAGTACGAACCAGTGTCGGATTACGAATTTGAGGGAGCAGTTTCTGATTATGAGGCACGGTCTGAGTTTGATGACACTGACGAATGGGAAAAGGATAAGAGTATATCAAAGAGGAGTGCAAGGGTAGGAGATACCACTGTTTGTCATCTTTCATTTACTGTAGGCAAGGGAGTGTTTCGCGTGTCGAGTTTCGCGTGTCGCGCGTTGCGTGTCGTATGACTAAAGCAAAAATACAGTCGCGAAGGAGGAAGTTTTGTAGCTTGAAAGCTGTGTGGTAGTGTAATTAAGAAGGATGACGGTATCGGGGCAAATTTTTGCGGTCTGAGTGTACCGCAATTTCCTTTGGATCTAATTTTTTCGACTTTCTCTTTAAGCAGAAGAACATTGTCTAGGAAAGAAACGTCAGTTACATTCATGATATTTCACTTTTTTCTCCCACATATATTATAACTTTGTTTTGTTTTTTCGTGGATAATCCAGAAAATCCGCAGGAATTAAATCCAAAAAATCCGTCTCACGTATTCAGTTCCTACACACGTCACATAATCGTCGTCTTGAGTTTGCAACATTAATTCTTGGTTATTTCTGATCTTGTCTCCAGTCCCTTATGAGAGCTCTGCCGGCAGAAGAAAAAGCTAAGATTGAACAGCTGGCCGAGGGACTGAAACTAGAGAAGAAAAAGCTGGAAAGAGAGTTGACCAAATGGGACGAAAGTGGAAATGATATTATTATCCTGGCGAAGAAGATGTGCATGATGATGATGGAAATGTCCGACTTCACAAGGTAGAGTACGTTTTTATAATGGTTTTTGCGAGTGTCTGAGTTTGAGACAGAAACGAAGTTGGAGACGAGCTCGTTGGAGCGCTCACGAGGTATTGAACATTGGAAGGTGGGTTCGTAAGCGGAGCCGCAAGATCGACGGAGTTGGAGTCGTAAGGAATTCGGAACGTGTTTGTGTTCATCTGATTCCGCAAATTCTCCTCTGAAACTAAGATCGTCGTAGTTGCAAATTTATCCATTGTAATGCTGGTTCCGAGGCTTCCGAGTATGGCACTACCCCCAAAGTCTGTCTGCCATACAATTCTCATTATGTTAGATCGGAGAATTTTGGTATTAGATCAACTAGTAATTCCCTAATTAATATTTATCTTTATTTTCATAACTTGTCTGTCTGATATATGTGAGGAGAAAATCTGTCTTGGTCACTCAAGGGAGTTACGGGTTTAGCAACGGAGTCACGGACGATATCAATATTATGCTGGTTGTTCCGATCATGTCATTATGCTTCTGATAACACCTCTAACTCAGGCCCCGTTTTTATTGGAAAACAGAATTGTCGTCAATAAGCCATGAAATTGTGAAATTTTCATTAATTTTGTTATTGTCATTTTGACTTCAGGGGAACAGGACCGCTGAAAACTACGATGGATGTGATTGATGCTGCTAAGGTAAGGAACAGTGTTTTGGGTGAATTTCAGTGTTTATTGACCATCAATGTTTATTCTATTCGTTCTTCATTCTTCAGAGAATTGCCAAAGCTGGAAGAAAGATGAATGAAAAAGCTACTGAAATTGCACAGAAGGTAAATTCTTAACTCAAGGAGGCATCATTGATCAACATGTTTTGGCAACGGCTGAAATAGATTTCTGGGCCCAAAATGCTCTTTAAAAAAGCGCTCTAATTTTGTTGTGTGGATTAGAGGTTCTAAGCTCTTTGTTGAGTATAGTTTGTGCTAGACTCTGACTCGGTGGAGACTAGTGAAGAGGGTGAAAATTGCATTTGGAAGGAACAGGCTATGTTCCTCTCGCTCGACATTTTCACTCTTCTGAACTGACCGAAATCCTAGAACAGGGATTTGATTTTTGAAACTGTTGCGTACCTTCGTTTGGTTAATATACCAACTTCTACCTATATTTTTATTAGTGTCCTGATTCAAGTTCAAAGAACGATCTGTTAGCGTACATACAGCGCATTGCACTATATTCCCATCAGCTGACCATCACAGCCCGAGTGAAAGCTGACGTACAGATGATCAGTGGTGAACTTGTAGTGTCCGGGGTAAGTTCGTCTTTATCACTGCTCCTCAGTAACATGATAACTTCTAATCTCCATTTGAATCATTGTTATTTCACAACAA